GAGATACTGGCAGAGCTGCAACTCTTCTCCACAATGATTTGCACCATGCAAAAGCTGTAACTAATTCTGAAAATGTGCATAATTCTCAGGCTCATGATCCCTGTGTGCGAAAAACATATGTATATAAATATACGTGTGGAGTACGCACCTCCAAGAATCTACCTCCTGCAGAAATTAATAATGTGTTTATTGTTAACAGGAACAGCCCATTCTAGCTACAATAATTTCACGTACTTTCTGCCAAGAATGTTTATGGGCTTTTAACCAGAAGTTTTATACATAGCTTAAAAAAGTTTTATTCCTTGGGATGAACAATTGGCGTAATGATCTTATCATTGACCTCCCACGTAGCTGACTATGGTTTATGTCCTGGACCCAGTGGCTTAAAACTCACACCAGGTACATGTGTGCGCCTGCCTAAAATCCTGAGAGAGGAATGGAGAAGGGATTGCAGTGTGGCCTTCTTCCCAGGAGTGATTTCTTGCTTTCTGTCTTTCTGTCTCTGTCTCTCTGGTGAACCCATGCACCCTTAAAGCAAAAATCTCGCTTAAAAATAAGTTTTATTTCTCATTTTATAAATACAATTGCATTTATCTCTTCATACAGAATAGATGTGTTAATATCTTAACATTAAGACTGTTGTAAAGAAACTATTGCCACTTTAACATACCCATTGTGACAGCGATGCTTAAGTACGGGTGTTCCAGGGCAGGAAGCCTGGGTTTATGTCCAGGTTCTACCACATGTTAATTATACGACCTTGAGCAAGTTCCTTTAATATGCTGAGCTTCATTTTTAGCAACTTTGAAGTGAAGATAATATTGTGTTGTTGGGAAAGTCATGATACATTTTTGCATAGAAAAACACAGAAAAATATGGCACAACTTTCCCGACAACCTAATACTACTACACGAGACTGCTATGTGGATAAAATAACACAAGCAACATGTAATACATACTTAACACAGTACATATTAACTCCTCCCTTTTTTCTTCTCCCCATCTTTTATTCTAACTTGTGGTAACAATACCAATTCTAATTACTATACAAGTTTCAGATTAAATGCAAGAAATTTGATGAGTCTTTGTCTATATCTCAGTGCCAGCCTTTTAAGATTAGCAGATTGATTTTATTAGTGTAACAAGGGAAGTTCTATTTTTCAGTCAAGTATAATGAATAATAAGCAAAAATTGCACTGAAGGCTTAAGGAGAAGGCAACACTTCAACTGAGTCTCACGGGATGAATAAGGTTGGCATGGAGGGATATACCTAGCAGGACTCTGAAGGAATGGGATAAAATTTAATAAGCTTTAATATATCAAGAAATTCAACAAAGAGTAAAAAATACAGAGTAGAGCCTACTGTGGAATAAGCAAATAAATCAGTGAAGAAAAGGATGAATAAGGGGTAGTGTGAAGTTAAAGGGTAGTGCCAAGACCACCCTTACTACTACCACTGCTACTGCTGCTGCTGCTACTACTCCACCTACGACTACTACTGCTGCTGCTGCTGCTGCTACCTACTACGTCTACTATTACTATTGCTGCTACTGCTATTACTACGTCTACTATTACTAATATTGCTGCTGCTGCTGCTACTACCTCTACTACTGCTGCTGCTGCTACTACTATTACACCTACTACTAATACTGCTACTGCTGCTGCTGCTGCTACTGCTACTATGTCTACTACTACTACTATTGCTGCTGCTGCTAGCTACTTCTTCTTCTACTGCTGCTGCTGCTATTACTACTAATACACCTGCTACTACTGCTGCTCCTAGCTACTACATCTACTACTACTATTGCTGCTGCTGCTAGCTACATCTGCTGCTGCTGCTGCTGCTACTACTACTATTGCTGTTGCTGCTACTACTACTGCTACTATGTCTACTACTACTGCTGTTGCTACTGCTACTGCTATTATTATGTCATCATCTTCTATTCCTTCTTCCTTCTCTTTCTTCCTTCTTTCTTCACCAAAGGGTGCACGCATTTTCCAGGAGACAGAGAGAGAGAGAGATAGAAGGAGAAGAGAGGGGGAAAGAGAGAGAGCATCCCCATGGGGAACAGTCAAGCCGCAATTCCTTTTTTCTATCATCTGTCCTTCCTTTCAGAATTTTGGGCACGTACACACACACCCACCATGTTTATCTAGTCTCCTAGTCTGGGACTCAAACTGCATGGTTGGCCATGTTGAATCCAGTTGCTTTAATCACTAACCACCTGCTGGCCCAGACTACCACTACTTCTGACAAAAACTTCAAGTCTGGGTGCTCCCAAGAACATTCTCAGGTTTCACTGATAACACTTTAAAGGGCTCACATAATTCACTGAAATCTGGTATAGTCAGTTATGATTTATTACAACAGAGGACATAGATTAAAATCAGTTCAAAGAAGAAACTAAAGATGTAGAGCAGAGAGGATGATAAGAGCAAATATCATAAGCTAAAATATGAGCTTAGTGAAATTAGGGAATAAAAAAGGACTACTTTGGTTGGAGCAAAGCAAGGTGGGGTGAAATAACAGGAGATGATACCAGAGAGATATGAAGAGAATAGATAACATGGGTTTCATGTACCACATAAAGCTACTGGATGATTTGGATCAAAGGAGAGGCATGATCTAGTTTTCACTATAAAAAGATTATTCTGGCTGCTTGTGTGGTTATGGGGCTCATTACTGAAAGAGGCACTAAAGTAAGAAAAACAAGGTTTGGGGAAAGTTGAATTAGAGGTACTTTTAGGACATCTAATCTCTACTGGATAAATTCAATAGGCAATTGGATATAAAAACCTCAAAGGAGATTTGTGAGTCAGCCTATGTGGTTGTTGAAGCCATGGTTTAGATGAAGTCATTATGCCTAGAGTTTACAGTAAAAAAGAGCAAAGCGTTGTCTTGGTGACACCACCATTTATTCTACACTCAAGAAGTAAATAGGGGGAGTAGATATACTCAGTTCTGTTGTTAGGCAACATATTTAATCCTAAAAGTTACTATATTAAAGGACTGGTTCCAGAGGACTGCACTGCCTAAATTCAAATCTTGCCTCAGCACTTTCTAGTCGGGTGACCATGGGCAAATTATTTAACTTTTCTGTGATTTTTCATAAATATCATGTTAGGACAATAATAGTTATAGAGTTGTGAGAATTATATAACTTAATACAATAAACAACAGTGCTTGGTGCATAGAAGGACTTTAATAAATGCTGTTATTATTCTTTTAAAAATGTACAGCTTGTGGGACCAGCAGATGGCATAATGGTTATGTCACTGAACTCCTACGTAGTCAACTGTGGTTTGAGTACTGGGCCCAGTGGCTTAAAACTCATGTTGGGTGCATGTACGTGCGTGCCCAAGATCCCAAGAGGAAAATGGAGGAGAAGGGACTGTGCCCAGGGGTGATTTCTCGCTTTCTGTCTCTCTAGCAAGCACATGTGCAGCTGGTAATATAGTGCCTAGTTGATAATCCATATTCTTTAAATGGTAACTGATTTCCTAGGTTACATAAACTGGATTCAATTAGTGTGTATGAAACAAGCTTATTGGGTCATCGGAAAAGTCTTGATGTATTTTTCTATGTTTTTCTGTGCAAATAATGCATCATGACTTTTCTGATGACACAACACTAGAGACAAAAACCAAAACTTTAGTAATTTGTTGTATACATTGGTACTAATATCTAAATTTAACACCAACCTGTTATTTGATGATATCCAGGAGCAGCTCTAAAAATATTAAAGGGTTTGTTCTCTGTGAACTCTGGGTGTAAGCCTTTCTTCATCTTTGTCTTTGTTTTCTTTTTCTCTTTATCTTCTTCTTCTCTTCTTCTTCTTGTCGTCGTCTTCTTCATCTTCTTTGTCCTCTTCTTCGTCTCCTGTTCTTCTCAATTCCTATCATATGTATATTCTACCCTTAAGATTTCTCTCACCTCTCAATATCTACTCAAAACATTTGCTAAGTTTATTCATACTCAGGTATGAAAGTTTAAAAATAGAAAGATAATTCAGTTTTACCTCAGGTACCAACTCTGGTGGCTACCTAGAGAGTATTCTTTCTTGTGAGATTTCTGTGGTGGAAAAGTAACCCTGCCATGATCAATTATTGAGATTTGCCAAAGGAAATTAGAGTGTCATGAGGAATATGATATTTGTGAAGCAGTGGGTGGAGCAATGAAAGTGTAGAGAAAAGTATAGAAGCCAGGCTGATGGGGCACAATCCAGCTGATAAATAGTAGCATTTATTCTGTGTGACCTTGATCAAATTATTTAATCTCTCTGTGCCTCAGATTTTTCAGCTATGAAATAGGCATAGACTTTTTTTATTTTTGGAGAGATTTTTTGGTATAGGGCACATGTGTTTGTTGGAGAGACAGAGAGAAAGTGAGAAATCATTCCATTCTCCTCTTGGGATTTTTAGCATGTGCACACACATACTCAGCATGAATTTTAAACCGCCGAGTCCAGGCCTCATATCATGATCAGCTATGTGGGAATCCAGGGCCTTAACCACTACACTACTTGATGAGCATAGATTTTAAGTATCAACTTGAAACTATGAGATATTTCTCTTCTCGGATTTCATACAAAAGAAATAAGGTGAATGAAATAATAAATAAACCTAAAAACTTCATTTTCAGCAAAACCAGGGGACTAATAGAATCTGAAAATGCCCAAAATAAGCTGAGAAGAACAGATACCCTCTGAGGTAAAGTCAAGAATAAGAAATCAGAATGTGGCACCAAAGCCAAATTGAGGCATTGAGGCATGCACTCTTAAGTATTCAACCTTTAGCCTTTGTACACAAGTGCAACAGCAGCTAGGAGGGGCAGAAGATACCTAGGAGGAAGTACAAGAAAAAAGACACAGATAATAGCTAAATGGTTTGGTGGGAATAGATCTCAGAAAATGCAAAAATCTGTTTCCTGAGGTTTAGGATTCATTCTGAAGTATGTAGTGGTGGAAATGGATACATAGGAAGAAGCATGCACAGTTGTGATGTTGGCTTTAGAAGTTCTGGACAAGATGTGGTTCAGAGAAGAAGGTAGGGTTATAGGAAAGTCATTTTAGAAGGAAATGTTGGTAATAATGAAGCAAAGCCTTTAGGTTTTGAGATTTGGAAAACATTGTCCTCCTTCCCCCAGCATCCTTCTAAAAATCATTGGGCTATGAAATAATGAATAAAAAGAGGAGTTGACACTATATAAATAGGAAGATATAACAAGGAAGAAATAGGAAACAACAGCAAAAATAAGAATGTACATAAAAAATATTGCTACTAAACAGACAAAAGTTCTGACCAAATTTTTTTTTTCAAAAAAATTCACCTCCTTGAAGAAAGATGATAAAGAAAAAATGTAAGGACTCAGGGAAAAGGAAGAAATTGCAAGATTTTAAAAAGACATGAACTGTGAGTTTGTAAACTCAGAAGTCATAGAAAAAAAACACTTTAAAAATCAAGATGATATTGGAAGGAATACAAAGGGAAATTTGATACTGTAGGAAGCACAAAGAAGATATGAATAAGAAAATCAAGTAAATAAACCTGATGATAATGAACATATTTTAAAACATTATAGAGAAATAATACATATAGAGAGCAGTGGTTTGATGTACTCATGACAGGAATTTTTAAAGTTGAAAACTGAACTATGAAACAGAACAAATATTTGAAGACACAATTCATGAAAACTCTGCTGATGGAATAAATGCCTTGAATCTGTACAATGAATGTGTATAACATGAACCTGTAAACATTCATCCAGAAAGACCAATATAGAGCCACATTCTAAAAAAAATTACTTCATTTTAGGGACAAAGAAAAACTCTTAGGCATGCTGATTTTAAAAAGTCTAGTCACTTATCAGGAAAAAAAATTAACTGACTTTACATTTCTCTACTATCAGTATTTCATAGTGGAACAACAACTACAAGATATTCAAGGAAAGAAAATCAACAAAGAATTTGATGTCCAATGTAACCTTACACACAAAGCTACAAACAATTCTGAAAGGGCCAACACTAGGAAATGTTCCCATGAACCTTCTTGAGGAAATGAATAGAGAATAAGTTTCAGCAAAAGAGAAGTAACTAAGGAAACTATTATACCAGGCTGCCTCTACTTATCAGGAGAAAATGTGGGGATAAAGAAGAATATAAATGCCATATGAACTAACAATATAGAAACAGTACAATCAACAAAAATAAATAAAGAAAGAAAAATCAGAGAAGAGAGAAAAATGATGGGGGTAAAATGAGTTTTGAAATTGCCTCATCTAAGAAACAGAAATTATATTTTTCAAAGTTGATAAATCAAATAAAAGAAATATAAAGATATTTAACCAAAAAAGATAAATAGTAAAAAAGATACACCTATTGACTAACATGGCCCAAGAAAGTACTAAAGGGAAGAAAAGGGATACATTATTCAAGGGAAGAATTACAGTTTTCCCTGCTTACTTACAGAGTATAGATTCCAAGACTCCCAACGGATGTTTGACACCAAGAGAGTACTAAATGCTATATGTATTATTTTACCCTATGCATACATTCCTATGAAAAAGTTTAATTTATAAATTGGGCACAGTAAGATATTAACAACAATAACCACTGAGTCATTCGAAAAGTCATGACAGCTTTTAGCATAGAAAAATACGTCATGACTTTTCTAATGACCCAATAATAATAAAATAGACCAATTATCACAAAATACTATAATAAAAGTTATGTGGATATGATCTCTCTTTCTCTTCTCTCCCTTTTTTTTTTTTTTTTGAGAGATTTTTGCTATCGGGCGTGTGCACTCGCCAGACAGACAGAGAGATACAGAGAGACAGAAAGTGAGAAATCATCCCCCAGGGGGGATGATCACGCCGCAATCCCTTCTCCTCCGTTCTCCTTTCGGGATCTTGGGCACGCACGCACACGCGCCCAGGGTGAGTTTTAAGCCACCAGGTCTGGGACGCGAACCACGGTCAACTGCATGGGAGTCCAGCAACATAGCCATTACACTAACGGCTGGTCCCTCTCTTTTTCTTCTCTCTCTCTTTCTCTCTCTCTCTCAAAGTATCTAATCATACTGTGCCATGGGTAACTGAAACCATGGAAAGCAAAACTGTGGATAACCGGGGAACTAGTAGAATGGACATATCTAAAGAAAGCACTAGAGCATAATGTAAACTTATACTTTTAAAGGTAACCCTTAGAATAAAAATAACCACCTTTCTAAATCTCAAAAGAGCGATATACAAAAACTAAGGAAACAAACCACACAGTGAAAAAACTTTACAAAATTAGAGTGATAAAACAATATAAACCAGTATGACATAACCAAACCATCATATCCATAAACAGGTTTAATGTATATATTAAAAGAAAAAGTCAAATTGGATCACAAGACAAATACAATGCCTTTTTATTTACATGAAACACTGTGTTTCAAAGTAGATGAAAACAAGGGAAAAGTTATATAAGTTATATAAGTTATAAAAGTTATATAAGACAAGTAGAAACAAAAAGAAAGTGGGGGAAAGGAACTTAGTCTTACTACCAAGTAAGGTAATGCCAAAAACAAACAAAAACTAGACATAGAAGGTCTCTTTATAAATAAAAATGGCATAGAACCATATCAATTCATGAATTTTATGACTACATATAAAAATTATGGCACTGAAATGCCTAAAGCAAAGACCACATGTGCTAAAAGGACAAACAGGCACACTAATGGTAAGAAACTTTCTCTACTTCTCAGTCCATGAAAGATTAATTACATAAAAATAAACAAGAATATAGAGAATATAAATAAGGTAAACAATAAGGTACAAATATTAGATTGTTGGGGAAGTCATGATATATCCTTCTGTGTTTTTCTATGCAAAAATGTGTCATGTCTTTCCTAACAACCCAATAGTATATTAAATTTTTCACTCTGAATCACCTTAGTGCTTATGAAATATTTTGAATATTAACCACTTATTAGGCTTATTAAGTTTCAAAAATAGAAAGGGCAAGTTAGACACCATTCTCTGATCACAATGCTTTAAGTTATATTGAAATAACAAAATCAGAAAACAAAAAGACCTTTGTTAATTGGAAATTTAAACCGTTTAAACCATTTGGGTGAAAGAAAAAATACAAATAAAAGTAGTTTCTAGAAAACAACAAAAATGAAAGCACCACATATCAAACTCTGTGAGACTTACCTGAAGCAGTACTTGGAAAAATTTAGAGCTTAAATGACTATTTTTAAGGAAACAAACAAAGAACTAAGTACTCTTATGCAGAAATAAGAAAAAGCTGGAAATAAGTAATGAAGATAAATGCTGAAACCAATTAGTGATACAGAAAAACAAACAACAATAGGACTAACAAATCGAAAGGCTATACAAAGGGTCAACAAAAGTTCACGAAAATGTGTACCATAAAAAAACCATGCATGAACTTTAAAAATGTTTTGCACCAAAATAAACTTGTACTTTAATTCCATTTTTTTCATAAACTCCTTGAAGTCCTCTCATACGTTTTTGAAATGACCAAGAATGACATTGACTTAATGACTAGAGCATTAAAAATTAGAAAAATGAGATAACTATAGAATTTTTTTTAAAAAGTAAGAGAATATTACATGATAATCTCTGGAAAATACATTTAAAGCCTAGAGAAAATTTATTATCTTATGAAAAATATAAATTTCTAAAATTGACAAATGATACAGTAAAAATTAGAATAAATCAATTTACATAGAAGAAATTAAGGAAGTGAATGAAATGGCCAATCTAATAAATTTGGTTTAGAGATGAGTTTTATGTAACTCTTGAGAAAAGAAGATAATTTCAAAATTATCTGAGTTATTCTGTTCATAGGAAATAATGAAATATCAGTATTATAGTCTGGTAAAGCTAGGACAATGGTAGAAAAACAAAAATCAGTTTAACTCATAAATAGTAATACAATGCTTCTGCATAAATTATTAGTTAAGAATCCTGCAAGGTTTCAAAAGAATAACATATAACTAGCATTAGATTTTACTTTAGGAAGGCAATCATGGTTCATAGCAGAAAAATTGATTCAGTAATAAATGCTCAAAGACATTTGGTTTTTAACACACAGCTATTTGTTATAAAAGCTCCAATAAAAATAAAATTGAAGGAAATATATGTATAAAGAAATACTGAAAACATATATATGCATGCTGAAGTTTTCAAATACTTTTCCCAATATTACCATTTAATAGGATCAGATGTCAGGAGTCCTTGTTATATTCAAGGGCAGATTTTCTTGGGGGCAAAGAGCAGCCCTTGCTATCACACACATGTGACTGGCTTTGTGTAAGAGACTTATTTGGTGTCACAGAAGTATAATTTTCATATGCTTTATGATTGTGCATTCTTCTGCACTGTGATTTTTGCAGAAGCAGTGTTTCTCCCACAGTTTAATTAAACTGTGATATGTACACCCTTAGAGGTAGGCAACACTGGGCAAGAGTGCCCCAAATCACAGACTAACATGGCATGGTTTAGGAGTATGTTTTCATTGAACATAGGGGATGGGTACAGTTAACTGATTAGCTGGTAAGAAATGGGTATTTCATAGTAAAACACAAAGCATTAATATGTACTAAACTGTAAAGTCTGCATAAATTTAAAAGATCAAATATGAGAAGTATGGTATTTTTATGATCCTATGATGCCTCTTTAAAATTGTCCCCAAAACCTTAGAGGTGCATATAATTCTACACTGATGTGGAGAATATTCTGGTAAAATGTTTGATTCACATAGCCACACAATATCTAGATACAGACATTTATATTCTTTAAAACTGTTACAAAGTTACCACTATTTTATGCATAAAATGATGGTTGTTCTAATCCTAAATAAAAGACTTTAGTGCTTTGTGAAGATTTCAATGAGAAATTTTAATGGTATTGCTAGATGACACATGAGTGATATTCAGTAATTATTTCATTGTTGTACATAGTTGTTAGAGTTAGAACTGAGATTCCCCATTATATTTTGTTATTTGCAATCAACATGAATGATCAAATATCTACTAACTTCTTGCAAAAGAAAAATAAATTAAGGTGATGCAGATGTTCCTGGCTAATCTTCAGAAACTTTTATTTTTCATAACTTATCAAAATTATTTTAACATTTCTGGTTGGAGATAATTATATATACGCAAAGATGTGGGTAGGAGAGTTATAGTCCAAACAATAATAAATACCATACAGCTGACTAAGCTGTTCTTTACTTTGAAGAAAAGATTTATCATTCTTTACAAGTGGCAGTTAATTTTATGTGATTCAAGGTACACATAAGATCTGATTGGATTCCAATGGGGCAAGATCATTCATACAGAAACCATAAAACTATTTTTTAAGACATTTTTGACTGAGGTTATGTGTGCTGACTCGAGAGAGAGAGAGAGAGAGACAGAGACAGTGGGAGGAAAAGTAAGAAAGCACTCCCCCCCCACCCCACCCCCGGGGAATGGCCATGCCACAATCCCTTCTCCTCCATTCTCTTTTTGGGATCTTGGGCACATGTGCACGTGCATACACACACACACACACACGCACACACACACACATACACACACACGGGTGATTTTGAAGCCACCAATCTGGGACTTGAATTGTGGTCAGCTGTGTGGGAGTCCACCAACATAACCACCCTGCCATCTGCTGGTCCCTGTTTTAAAGAAAGCTAATGTAGAGATCCAACAATGAAGTGAACAGCTGTCTTCTAGGAATTTAGAATTGGGTAGGGAAGACAAGTATTGGTAATATTACAATAAATGATAACTCAGAAAAATCTACAGTTAAATAAAATCCATATCATATAAAATCCATATTAGATAATAAATATGGAAAAAGAACAAAAATTTTTTTTGGATAAAATTGCTATAAAAGACTGAGAAAAATGGAAAAGATAGAAACTTGGAAGGGACAGAAAAAGTATAGTGCTCACCAACCAAAGAAATTTAAATTCCGATGTCCAGGAGTTATCAAAGGATTTTGGTGACCAAACTACATGTGTACAACACATGTAAGGCACAGGGAAAGCTTCTGTGTGATTTATAATTTTAAACAGGTTAGAGAACAACCTGAAAAATTAATAAAGTAATTGTGTGAACTTATAAATGACTTTCAAATCACTAATTTTTTGTATGTTTCTCTGTAACATATACATCATTAAATTTTAACTTTTAAAAAGAATTATTTACTTAATTTATTATTATTTTTTTAATTTGCTATAGGGCATGTGTATGTGAGAGAGTGAGAAAATGAGAAATCAAGCTACCAGTCCAATACTCAAACCACAGTTGGCCATGGGGGAGTCCAGTGCCTTAACTACCACACCATCTGCTGACTCCGGCTTTTAAGTTTTAAGTTGAAGAGGTGGGTTGGCTCTATGGCCTGATAGTGGCTTGGCTCTAAGGCAGGTGGGTCCCACATGGCTAACTACATGGTTTAGGCCCCTGTGGTTTGAGAAACATGCCAGGCACATGTGTGCACATGCCTGAAATCCCAAAAAGATAGAGAGAGAAGTGATTGCTGCATGACTATTCCCCACGAGTGGTACTTTTTCCCCACTTCTCCCATCTCTCTGTCTCTCTTTGGCAAACTCATATTCCTTTTACACACACACACACACACACACACACGCATACACATAACTAGATAACAAATAATTCTGGGGCCAGCAAATGGCACAGTAGTTATGTCTTTGGACTCCCACAGTTTCAGTCCTGGATCTGGAAAATCACACCAGGCCTGTGTGCTTGTGTGCCCAAGGTCCCGGGATGAGAATAGAGGAGAAGGGACTGTAGTGTGCCCATCCCTCCTGGGGAGTGACTTCTCACTTTCCTTCTCCTTGCCTCTGTTTCTGTCTCTGTCTCTCTCTCTCTTCAGCAAACACATGTGCCCTAAGTCAAAAAAAAAAAAAAAAAAAAAAAACTAAAAAAGAAGTAAATAATCCTAGTCAAATGGAAAAAGTGAGAAAACTAAACCAATTCATTAGTTAAATTTTAGGTTTAGAGATAATGTATGTGTGGGTATGGGAGTGTGTGCATGCACATGCTTTATTCAGCATAATGTCTTACTCTCCCCTTCCCTATCTCTTGTTACCTGAGAACTAGTTATTGACAGAGGGTGCTTATTTTAGAAAATGCTGTTGATACAAGGAAGAATTTTTTCATACTCAAACATTTATATGAACACATGAATGCATAAGAGTAAGATTCTTTCTCTTTCTCTCTTCCTCTCTCTCTTTTTAATTTCCAGGCATAGATGTTCTTCATCAACTAGGCCTTGGAGGCAAAGATGTAAGACATTCATCATCAGTGACTGCTGTACCATCATCATCTACACCATTACCTCAGGGTTTCCATTTAACAGAGTCAGGCATCATTTTAAAAAATGATGCTTATATTGAGTCACCTCTAATGAAAATTTTACCAGTCAACTTAGGACAGCCATTTACAATATTGATTGGGTTACAATCACAGAGAGTGAACAATGCATTTCTCTTCAGCATTAGAAATAAAAATAGACTTCAGTTAGGAGTACAATTACTACCTAAAAAATTAGTAGTACATATTGGTGGAAAGCAATCTGTGTTTTTCAACTACAGTGTTCATGATGAGCGATGGCACTCCTTTGCCATTACTATTAGAAACCAAGTTGTTTCAATGTTTGTTGAGTGTGGAAAGAAATATTTTAGCAGAGAGACTATTTCAGAATTTCAGACTTTTGATTCTAACAGTATATTTACCCTAGGAAGTATGAATAATAATTCTGTCCATTTTGAAGGAATAGTATGTCAGTTGGATATTATTCCTTCTGTAGAAGCATCTGCAGACTACTGCAGATATGTGAAAGAGCAGTGTCGCCATGCAGACCAATACCAACCTGGGACAAACCTTCCTCACACAACTATCATAACAACTACAACACCAGAACGTTCTTCCCAGCCCAAAGGATTTAGCGAAAGAGTACCATCAGAGGATACATTTACTGAAGGCAAAAGCATTGCAAATGTCATAAATAGTGATTCTGCAACAGTGCATAAAAGACAAGGACACCAAATGTCAAGATCTCAAATAACTTCTCTTCATTCAGGAAATGTCTCAGCTGTGGATCTCATAAACCTTGGGATTCCTACCAAAGAAATCATCACTGGGGAACACACTCAAACAAATTTAAGCCTGTCCATGACTGATCATTATCTCACTGAGGCAAGAATGAATACCAAGGGTAAATTTAGTTCTTTTCTCTTCAATGTTTCTGAGAATATCACACAACATGATAGAGTAACTGGTCTATCACTGTTTAAGAAGACACCATCATCATCTGTTCTTCCACATATAAAACAAGATACAATTACTAATCTCAAGAAAGCCATCACAGCAAATCTACACACTAATGAACTCATGGAAATGCAACAGATTTTAAACACAACCTTCTATAGAATGACAGATCATCCATCTATGGATAATCATCTTGATCTCAGGAAGGAAGGTGAATTTTATCCTGATGCTACTTATCCCATCGAAAATAGCTATGAAACTGAGCTTTATGATTATTATTATTATGAGGATCTTAATGCAATGTTCGAAATGGAGAATCTAAGAGGGCCAAAAGGGGACACTGGACTGCCAGTAAGTTGTTTGTTGTTGTTATTGCTTTAATATGTCTTAATGTACTAATTTACCATACATGTGAAAGAGAGTTTTCCAGAGTGAATACAGAACAGTTGAGCTCTGCCACAGATATGAACCCTGGTATAGTGAGTGAGTTTATGGTTACTATAACACATCCACCAGAGAACCCTGACTAAAGTATCCTCTCACCCTCCCACCCCTTTTTTTTTCTAATTGGCAAACTGAAATTTTCTAATTGGCAAACTTAATTCTGGTAAATTGATCAGCAAACTCTATATTTTTCTTATTCAGTTGAAATTCAATCAGGACTTCAACTGCTAAAATAGATCTACATTATATATATATTTTTTTCACACATACATATCCCATAGGTTTAATGTATAACCATAAGAGAAGGATATAACAGTATATTTAAAAAATCAAATAAATTGAATATTTTTCACCAAAACAGTATCAATGGATTAAAAAAGTATGAAGTTTTAGGTGGTGACTATTACGTAGTGAGTCACTGACTAGGAAAAAAATAAAGCCTGATATCATTCTAAATGAAGTACTAATAATTTCCATGAAGAATCTCATTTAATGATATAGTTAATTTACATTTTATGGGTCAATAAAGGTTCTACCTACCTGAGACTAAAAGAGGCATTCAGCCTATAAATCTATTCAATAGGAAAACAAAACTTAAAATGAACCAGAAAGAAAAACAACCAAGCCACTGAAATAATTTTAAGACAATTTAAAGTCATTCAAAAATCACAATTTGGAAACATTTTGTTACTGCTTTTCATATTTGTATACCTTAAATAATCAACCTATATGCCTTTAGGAATTAATTTTTTCAAAATTTTAAACAGACTAACATGTACCATAAGGTATTCATTTATTAAATTAAAAGAAAAGATGAGTGTTCGTTTTAGTTTCAGAAACCATAGAATAGGAGATGATGATATCACTTACTTGGCTTGTATTTCCTTTGTGGTTATTACTTGAAATAATTCGGTAGGTACTGAACAACTGTTATTAGAGTGAGTAGTTAGAAGTTTTTAAATAGAATCTGAAGAAAATACTATTATACAGAAATAAATTCTTAGTTATGACAATTATCAACATGTTGGTAATAGAATTAAATCACTGGATGGATCATATTCAACTATTAAAAATAGTACTTACATTCTTCAAAAAAAGTCAGAATGATAAGAGCATTAATCTTTTCTGTAAATCTGAAAATAAAGTTATTTCAACATTGGTAGGTGAAGCAATAATGTTAACAGATATTTACTTCATCTCTGTTACATAGGCAGGAATAAAAAGGTATGTATAACACAATCTGCTCAGGAATTACATTTCAATAATGCAGATAAAGTGAGTACATTTATAAATATGTCTCAAGGTAAAGATAAATGCTGCTGAGACATAGAAACTAAGTTTATGGCACAGATATGTTCAACGGTAAGAAAAATAATATTTTTGAGGGAATCACTATGAAACATCACTTAAAGCTGAGCTCTTTAAGATAGCTTCTTGTGGGGCTGGCAGGTGGCATGGTGGCTAAGGGCACTGCACTCCCACATGGCTGACTGTGGTTCAGGTCCCGGACCTGGCGGCTTGCTTTCTATGGCATAGGCATGTTCAATGGTAAGAAAAATAATATTTTTGAGGGAATCGTTATGAAACATCACTTAAAGCTGAGCTCTTTAAGATAGCTTCTTGTGGGGCTAGCAGGTGGCATGGTGGTTAAGGGCATTGGACTCCCCCATGGCTGACTGTGGTTCGGGTCCCAGATGTGGTGGCTTGCTTTTTTTCTCACTTTCTCTCTCTCTTTCTCTCTCTCTCACTTAATCTGTCCCTCTCTGGTCAAAATAAAAATAAATAAATTTTTCTTTAAAAAAAAAAAAAGGTTCTTGAGGCAAAAGATAATTATGACCTAGGCTCAAATAATGGATAACGTTTTGATAGGTGAGAGTAGCTGATATGTTTTTAAATAGAGAAATTAGCATAATAGCCATCTTTTATTAAGTTTTTAACTTGTGAAAGATGCTCTGTCATATTGTTTACATACATTATCTTGTAAAAAACTTGATGAGTATTATTATCCTCATTTTTCAGGTGAAGAAACTGAAGCCCAGAGGAGTTTACTTGGCCACAAATAAATGTTGTCCACAACAACATTGTTGTTACATGGTAGTGTTAGAATTTGAACCCAGGTTTTCTGCCACTAAAGATCAAACTCTTTCAGGATACTGGGCTGAATAATGGTAGACAAATAAAGACCCAAGCTAGATGGCATCAAGCTATAGGGAGTCTTAATTTGTCAAATGGATAATTCTAACTTTATCTTGTCAGTGGTAAATTCTGTAGATTTCCAAGTAGAGGTATCAATAAGAAAGTCATTCTGGTAGCCTAGAAAGAAAGTTCCTATTACTATCTTGGTATTACATGGCTGGAACACTAGCAAGGTTGGTGATGAAAATCCAAAAGAAGCATCAGATTGAAGAGATATTCTGAAGGAACATTTGGTAAAACTAGGAAAATAATCAGACCAAGCAAAAGGGAAAGAATTAAGACGGCTGTCAAGTTTTAAGTCACAGATTGAGAGAACAGTGACAGCATTACTAAAAATAGTAATTAGGAGAGAAAGCTGATTTTAGGAGAGAAAAATAAGTTAGAAATGTAAGATACTATTGGTAATTCAGCAAGCTGTTGGAAAAGCTGAAGAAGCTGAATTGAAAAAGGTCAAAGAAGGGGCTATAATGTCAACATTATAGCTAAAACTGCAGTTAGATAATAGCTTCAAAGGAACATGGCATAACATCAAGAGCCAAATCATGAGAAAAGTTTAATTTTTTTTGTTAAAGGATTATTTAATTGTATTTATTCATTTATTTATTTATTTTAATTTTGACCAGAAAGAGAGAGAGACAGAGACAGAGAAGGAAAGTGAGAAAGCAAGCCACCAGGTTTTGGGACTTGAACCGGGGTCGGCCATATGGGAGTTTCCAGCACCTTAACCACCACGCCACCTGTTGGTCCCCAAGAAAAGTTTAATTTTTGATTATAGGAAGAAAAATACAGAAATGTGATTGTGTAGTCAGATATGAGAATAGCATGATATCACTGAAGTCATATAAAAAAGGCAGTTTTAAGAAGAAATGGATCGGTGGTGCCAAAAAGCTACAGAGAAGTGGAAGAGCATGAGGACTGAGAAAAAATGGGGAAAGATGTTGATCTTCTAATGGAAAAGTCATTGTTGAACTGTAAGAATCCAACTTTAGCATAGTGTAGAAGAGTAAAGGTAGACTTTAGAGAGCCAATAAGAGGATGAATGCTGATAAAATGATGGAAACTTGTAGGGACTGTCCCACTACTTTCAGAAGTAGATGTTACTCTGGAAAGTCTGAGACTGGCCTATTTTTTTTTCCCCATTTTTTTCCCACCTGTATACCTGTGCAGTTCTTTCATTAACTTTGCAGTTCACTAGACCTATTAAGTTCTGTATCAGTTTTTTCTATTACTCTTTTGATCTGAAGATTATTTTTTATATAGGAAAGTCTCCCCTTATATTCTCAAATATTTTTCAATTCCATTTTTCTGTATTCTTCTTCTTCTTTTCTTTTTTTTTTTTTTTGTATTCTTCTTCAGGCATACCAACTTGCATATGTTGAATGTCATTTATGATAGATAGTATTTGTATTCTCTACAATCATGTCATCATGATTGCCTTTTCCATTTCATTTTGTGTGAACTCATTTATCCTGTATCTCTTTACTGCTTTTTCAGTTGGGTTTAGTCAGTTTTTGTTGCTTCTGACATTACTTTAATCTCTAATGATTTTTTTTTGATCTTTCATTATCTTTCTAAAGATATCTGGTCACATTTCATTGCCTTTTACTGTTCTTTTTATCTCTTGTAACTCTTCTTTGAGTTCTCTTTTTTGTAGAGAAATGTCATCTTGAAATTATTTGAGAATACAATGAGTAAGCTACATTTCCCTTTCTGATAAATGATTTTCACCTATTTTACATTTGTGTTTCTGTCCTCCCATTTCTTTTCCACATTATATCAAAAGAAAGACAACTCTACCTCGACTACTGTTTGCTTTAGAAGAATACGGAGAGAAGCAAAGAGAAGTAAGGTTGAGTGGTACACAGAGTCAAATTTGGATTACTGCCTTAAAGACAATCTTACCATATTTGTTTTGTCTTCAATCCAGAGGCATTTCTTCTCATTTTCATGTATGATTTTTTTTTGTCAAATCCTTTGTATCACAGGCCCTCTGAGAAGAAATATGTTTTATGCTCTGGTCAGTATACCCTGTCACCACTAGAAATCTCCTGGTAAGATTTGGCTGTAGATCATAAAAATGATGAGTTCTTCCTATTCAGCTCCACCTTCCCTATTCTTGGCTCTTTAGAACTGACCTTCACTGGCCATGAATTGTTTTTCCAATGGCTTGCCCAATCCTTTAAACCTAATCATTGCACTTTTAAAAGAAAAATAAACCAACTTAATAGAATAGAGTTTTAATTGAGCAAATCTTAACATAATTTAAATTGGGCCGTTTTCCCCAGACTTCCAGACAGCTCTGGCTAGCCTCATGGTCAACTCAGTATTTAAGTTCTGGAAAAGAAAAGTGTTATGTACAGCAATGGGAATGTGATTAAAAAAAAAAATTAAAAAAAAGTGAAGGGAAAAAATTTGAGTTGGTACATTCTGAAGTGTATTTGCATTAACACAGTTTAAAAGACAGGATGCCTGTGATTGACTGAAGCCTCACTGCTGTGATTGGCTGTAATGTAGCAACTAGCTCAGAAAAACAGCCAAACTCCTATGATTTTGCTTATCCATATGAATCCAAGTGTGCAAGTATAGTGGCCATGTTAGGCCAAAATAGTTTAGTTTAATCATTTCCCCCTTTTTGGTCAGCCTCTCAAATGTTTGAGAGATGGACCAAAACTTGGGGCATTTACCCCACTCTCTGTCACCATCATAAAAAT